CTCCACATCCTTACTGAGGCCGGGCCAGGCCGCCGCCGGGTCTTAGTCACCCTCTCCCGGTCCGCGCGTCGACCAGCCACCTCCCCTTCCGGCGGATGCCGGGAACGTCCCTCGGGGGGCATCGCGCGGTATGCCTCTTGGAATTCCGTTTCCGACGGCAGCGGGGGTATGTCCAGCGGCCTGCTACGGCTCACGGCGCCGACTCGGATCGCCATCTTATCTAACAGCGCATCTGCCGCGTCGTCCATGGCTGAGTATCGCGATAACCGGTCCGCGATGTGGTTCTCCTCGCCTGGTTCTCCTCGCCTGAAAGAAACTTAATAGTGAAGTCATACTGACTCAGACACAACGCCCACCGAAACACTTTCCCATTGTCGACCCCCGCCAGGCAGCGCAGGTTATTGTGATGCGTGACCACCGTGAAGTGCGTGAGGCCAACGTAGTCCCTCCGGCATATTCGATGGGGACCTCCCGCCCCTCCTGGACCTGCATGAGGGTCGCTCCGCGCCCACTTCCGACGCATCCGTGTAGATGACGTACTCCCCTCCTCGGACCGGGGGGTACAGTGTGGCCGTGCTGGCCACCGCCTCCTTGAGTTTTACGAACGCGGCCTGGCATTCCTCTGACCAGTCGAACCGCTTATCCTTCTTCAGTAGCCCGAACCGGCTGCCCACCAGCCCCGAGTAGTTGGGGATGAAGTTCCGGAGGTAGCCTGCTACGCCCAGGAACGACTGCAACTCCTTCTTCGAGCTCGGGGGCGGGGCTTGCCGGATCGACTCGACCTTCTTGGGCTGTACTCTGATGCCGTCCTTGCCCACGGGTGGCCCAGGTAGGCTACCTCGGGCTTGAACCACTTATCTACTTTTTCTACCAACAGACTCCTGTGCTATCGGATTCTGCCCCTACTCTTGTCCCTACTCTTTTAGACCTCTTTTCTCCTGCCTTTACTTATCCGTACCTTGCCACCCGTTCCTACTTACTACTGCTACACGCCACCCTACGACTCTAATATCAGTCGCGCGCGTCTTGGTGTGTCGCTTGTGGTAGAGCGAGTAGCAACACACCAAGGGAAGAAAGAACCAAGGGAAAATTAGAAAGGTCTTGATGACCTCACGACAGGATGGTCGATGGGCTTCCGTAAGCAGAAGAGCCGGAAGAGACGACAGCTGGTTATTCATGACCTTGACGACATTGTAGATTTCGGAAAATGGAGGTGCAACATAAGAGAATAATGACACCCCTAGAGAGTAAACGAAAAAAGTAGTTGCCAGTAGATCATCGCCACCGGGACGAGTAAACCAAGCGTTGACGCTGCGAGGACAACAAAAATTCTTCCCATGACTTAAACACTGTTATATCTTCTCCTTTTTTTTGTTCTTCTTTTTTTAAAAAAACAAAACTTTTTCTTGTGTGCGAGTTGTGTGTGACAACATGATCTCCTTTTGGAGTCTATGTATCCAGACTTCCATTGCTTCTTCTTTTTTTCGTATCAATGTCTTGGCGCTTATACGACTTGCAATTAACTTGAACACCTCATTCTGTACTCTCACATATTCTATAGTCATAACATCAAGACCGTTATTTCTAAGGCGCATTCGTTCCAGGCATGATTGGGGATCGTCTTCTAACACGATTATCGTTTGCATTCGTTTCGGTATCTCCCACATTTCCTTAGGAAACTGGGCGATAAGATCTTCTGTTTGTTGCATGGACCTTCTTCCTTCAACGACCGAACAAATTAAGGAGTAGGTGAGCGCACTTAAAGGTCCTCTATCATGAATTGATCCTGCTTGTAATTTGGACAATTGGAAAATGGTATATGCGATGTCTGTTACGGCCCCCTACACCCGTTAAGTCCCGCGGCCCTATTTTTAATTTTACTGTTTTTGACAAACCCCGGAACCACCCCACAATTTACATGCCATACTCAAGG